ATTCATAAATATAAAGATTATATTTATTTATATTTATTTTAATAAATCTATAAAATAATTATATAATATATTAATACATATATCGCTTTTAAAATTACACAATACTATACAGGATTTTATAATGGTAAATTTGAATACGAATGATTGAATTTGCTATAAATTGCAGATTAGTTACAAGGCAGACCGTTTGCTTTGATAAATATTTAATTAATAGCTAATATTTTAATCATGATGTAATAATTAGGAACGAATTACAATTCTTACTAAAAAGAGAATTTATTTTTGCTTATTATTATTTATTAGAAAACTTGAAGTTACAAAAATAACACGAGAGAATTCCTTTTATGTAATTTATAACATATTATTAAAATAAAAAAATATAATTAAGTTATTTGCACATATTACATTAGGTTTTATAACTCTGAGCAGTGCCAGAACCATAAATACAATCCCATTCGATATAAATCTTTAAATCCAACTGAGACACACTGGGTCGCACGTTGATTAATGCCTGTTCAAAATCACTATTTGTTATGTGTCTCACTTCTTCCATTCTTATATCTTCAAGTTGACTGAAGGGAATGCTCCGGATCGGTTCCATACTTGCTTCCTTACAGAGATTAGTCATATCGGCGCCGGAATATCCTGATGATTTCTCCGCGATTTTCATGATAGCTTCCTCATTAAGATCGTGATTCACCGACATCAATAAATTATTTATTATCTGCTTCCGCGCTTCGAGTTCCGGCAGAGGAACATACAATCTTTTGACGAGACGTCTTCTTGCCGCCTCGTCCAGTTCTTGCGGTCGATTGGTTGCACCAACAATTAGAATATGATCTTCCTCAGATGTTGCCGCGCCGTCTAACTGCACCAGGAATTCCGTCTTCAGCCTTCTGGAGGACTCGTGTTCCGTCTCCGAACGCTGTGTCAACAACGAATCGATCTCGTCAATGAAGACAACAGACGGCTGGTGAACCTTGGCCACTGCAAATAACGCGCGTACCATCTTCTCGCCGTCACCGATCCACTTGGAAGTCAAAGAGCTCGCTGAAATTGAAAAAAATGTAGACTTGCTCTGCGAAGCTATGCATTTGCCGATGAGAGTCTTTCCTGTTCCAGGTGGGCCAAACAACAAAATCCCCTTTGGCGGACGACGGAGACCCGTGAAGATATCTGGTCTCAACATGGGGAACACTATTACCTCCTTGATGATTTTTTTTATATACTCGAGTCCTGCGATGTCGTCCCACGTTATCGTTTTACCTGAATCCATGATCTCATTTTTTATTAACTCGATCATATTTGGATCAATGTTCTTCAGCCTTTCATCTACTTCTTCGTTCGCTTTACCTTGCGGCGTATTGTAACTTTGCGCCGACTCTTCCTTATCGCGTTTGAAAGGACAGACAAATTGAGCATTAGCTGCCCCTCGGCCGCCCAAAGTCTTCTTTGGTACAGACTTGTTCTTCTTCATTTCTTGGATGTATAATTCATCCCTGGCACTCCTAAAGGAGTCAAAATCGATTTTTTGTGTACTGGCGTTCTCACTAATAGTCTGTGGAGGAGCAGCTGGTTTTAATTGTAGCACATGAGGATTTATAGGTCTGTATGAGCTTTTATCATTCATATTATTATTGCTTAACTTAGAAGACACTTTTTGCACAAATCTGTCCAAATTCTGATAAGAAGATTGACTATTTGTTTGTACTTTAGGAACATTCTGTTTGACGGAACTTACATGCTTATTAAAATTTCTAGGAATGTTTGTGAAATACGTAGATATATCTTGTTCACTGTGTGTATTATTAGGCTTCAATAAAAATTTTTGACTTGAAGCTGTTTGTAACTGCGAACAGATTTTTCTACTTCTTTCTATATCTTTCTTCTTTGAGTTATTCATTAGTTTTTCTATATCCCTATCACTGTAAGATCTTCCTTTACAAGATAGAATATTGAGCTTCTGACAAGTCAAAGGTTTTATAAAATTTAACGTAGCGTCCACATCTTCTAATTCTGACTTCCATTTCAATGGATCATTTTTTGTGTCCAATAGTTGAGATTTAATCTGTTTCCAGTAATTGTTTACTCCATTCTTATCCTTTATCAGGCTGTGATAATCTTTAAGACCCTTTCGAAGCAGCACAGCTGCCACATCTTCTGAATTGCTGTACAATAATAAGAAGACAAAAATGTATGATAAATTTAACATAACAGAACTATATGTGTACGAATGTATTTTACTTACGATAATTTTGTTGTCATATACTTCACAGCAAGAGACTTGCGTTCAATATCTGCGACATCGAAACAGTTTTTGTCTTTTTTTGAAAATATCAAAGAATGATAAGCAGCTAAAACATTATTTTTCTCGTCTTTCGAATTTGGTGGAATACACTGTGCATTTGCACTGACAGAATCTGTATACCTATTCATACTTGATATACATCGATTCAAAATTAAAGCTGAGGAGAGTTAAATTGAATAATTAAATTATCAAGATATAATAATATATTTAAAGGTAGCTTTCAAGAATTATCATGATTTAAACATCACCACGTCTCAAGAAGTTCATCTCTACATATGTCAATAAAACACCTGTTGCAGCATAAAATATTGCATACAGAGAGTACACTCCCGAAGGCAGTTTGACGTGCGTCAAGTGAATCGTGTCGCCACTGTAGTTGGCTATCAAATCTGTCAACTAAAGACGACTACGAATAACTTGCAAGGATTAAAAAATGCCGATATAATTTCGTTCAATTTCTGGTGTCAATTTATATATGCGAAAAAGAATCTAGTTTTTCATTTCATTTATCCGTAAATAAATGATTATCGTGATACGTTTAATATCTAACTTAAAATATAATAAGCCTGAAAGAAACATGCCCTGATTTTCGTCTATTAGCGCCTCTACAAAATATGAATATAAACTATATAATCATATACACGAATATCTGATGGTAACATGACTAATTGTAAGACTTGATATCCTTGCTTTATATTTTCTAAAATCATTCAGGTATGTATAATCTGACTGCTGAATATCGACATTTAATCAACGTCTTATCGATATCTTTTGTCTACGATGACGAACGATCCGAATTTCCAAGAAGAAATGAACTTTTTTCCCAGCGCAACGGTTCTTTATATATCTTATTGGAAAGCTAGCGGCCACCAATGAACGTTCAGATAGAATGAGCGCAGTGAGATACCGTGCTCATTGGCCAGTACGCGAGTGGTGGGGATAAAGGCTGCGGGGTAGTATAAATTAATAGCCGTACTTTCGTTTCGCGTTTTTGTATTGCAACATTTCATCGACTACGGAACGTCATGTTTCATTACTTGGTATTTCGTATAATTCTTTTATCAATACGGAATTATTTAATTCCTATTGAAAAACGAAGCAAAATTAGATTAGTTAATTAATGGAAAATAGTTTGAAAGGATCGTCGGAATTTGCCGAGGTATTTAATTATTATTGTATATTAAAATTATTTTTGCTTTAAGAACTCTTGATGCTCTCGAACGGTTTTTTAATATCTTATATATTCTAAAAAATATTTCATCTTATGTTATTATTAATATTTGTATGCTATGTGCGCGTGAAACTTGTTGGCATTTATTTCCTATTATATTTAAATATCGCTTAATGTAGATTCGACACTACAATATATATATATATATAGTATTTACACAATACATACATTGATAATTTGATCGAATGCGTATTTCGCAATACTCGTTCGGCTGAAAATCAACAGTAATGCGACGCGTCGCTTTTGTTTTGGCGCGTGAAGTTTGCCGTACGTGAGAGACGCGCGGAGCTGCTTTGCTATCTTGATCACATTTTACGCTTCATTTACAAACCGCGGCGGACACAGGACGGACGACACGACAGATCGGCAACTCCGGAACGACACTTTTCAATTGGTAAAGAAACTTATTAGCTTTATACTTTCCATTTATTGGAACATTCATCAATTGGCACAAACATCGATTTGGCTCTTGTATATTAGATTTTAATAATTCATTAAAATGCGTACCTCGTAATACTTGTAGTGTATTATGCCGACCAAAAGTATATATATCGCGCGAATAATTGGAAAAACAACGATAACATTACGAGTCGCGGGAATCTAATTATAATATTAATGTGTTTATTCTATTATAATGTAGAGTTCGCGTGTAGAGTATTTGTAGCTGAAAGGTGCATAAACGCGAAATTAAGATCACGACGTGGTGTCGCGCAGTGTCGCGTCGTCGCGTCGCGTCACCGGCGCGGCGACGTGGCGTCACTTTTAGCACTTGAAGTTAACCGCGTACGAGAAACGAAACCACTTCACCATAATGCTTCACCATATTCTTAATTTACGTTTCGTTTGCAGATCGCTGCGGGGATAAAGGACAGCTAAATTGATTACGGATCAAGTAGCGTTTTAATAGGTAAATGAAACTTGCATCTGACTTATTTATATTTATTTCGTGCAACATTTAAATATAGATTTCGGTATTGACATTGATCGGTTGAACGCGTATTGTACAAAATACTTATTCGGTTGACACATATAGTCGCTATTGGCGTGAAATTGACCGCGCGAAGATGTATGTAATATGCTGTATTCTTGTTTTAAATGTAATAATTGTGAAATATCGTGTATATCAAATGTGCCGTAATTTCGTATGCTCTGATTATTTTACCATCGCAATACAATTAAATACGCGTTCTGGTTAACATCGAGACTATTGTATAAAGTACGATAAAGCCGCGCGATTGTTATTCTAATGACTAATTGTAAAACGCTTAATTGTAACTAATAATTTACTTGTTTTCCCAAAACAAATGTTACAGCACGAAGAAATAATAATAAACGAAAGAACAAAGGATATAGAAGCCGGAGCGATAATCAAAGATGACGGTGGATCGAGAGGTAAACATTTCAGCATTTTATTATTTACTACTGCAA